CCACGCCGCGCCCCGCCCCCGGCGCCCCGACCCGCGCCCCCGCCTGGGCCCAGCAGTCCGCCCGCGAGGCCGCCGTGTCTCCCCACCTTCGGTACCCCGGGAGCCCTCCCTGACCTGGTGGTGGGGCTTTTTCATCGTTTTCTTAAAAAATAATTTTTGATTTTAACTTTACCGTAACAAGCAACTCATGCCTGTAAAACTTGCAACAGGCCCCAAAGGATGATGACTGCAACTGATTGGAAAATGTGGAAAAAAATTATGTGTATATAATCTCCGTGAATTTATTATAATGGTACCCAAAACCCGGCCACCGTGGGCATTAGCTCATTCATTCTGAAAATTCTAGAGGGAAACCATCAAGCATCCATCCTGTGTTTCAGTCACAAAATAGTTGAGGAGGGAGAGTTCTTTTAGAGCAGTCCCGCTAATACATGAGAAGGGAATGGGAGAGTTAGAAAATTATTTTACACCCCTTTATGAAATCATGGATTCAGGCGATGATCATGAAAAGATACCAAACCCAAGAGATGAAAGGTTGGCGGGGAACTTGGAAATGGAGGGGCCAAGTTAAGAAGACGGGACCCGCCAATCAATCTTTGTGTCCGGAAGTACGAGCGCCACCTCCGGTGGATCGTTGCCAAAACACAGGGAGCCCGGACCTCGTCTGGCCTCTAGATCTAACCAACAGTTTGCAGGAAATAAAGGGGGATGGAGGAAAAACTTAGAAGCAGCAGAGCAATCAGGCAAATCCAGAATGTGAGGTAAATCCAGAATGTGGGGCATTTTACAGGACAAACGACTCAGTTTCTTCAACAAATACGTGGCATAAAAGGTGAACACAGGAAGGGAGAATTATTGGTTTTAAAAACTTAACAGTCATAATAACCAAATTCCATACACGGACCTTGTTTGCATCCTAAATCAAACAAACTAGGTCTAACCAGAAAGTTTTTGAGACAACCAGGAAAATAAAACTTAATATTTGCCAACCCAAAGAGTGAAAAATTGTATCCTATTTTTGAACTTACATTTTCTGGATTCCTGGAGAGGTGTTCATGTATTTATTGGCCATTTGACTTACTCCTGTGAATTGCCTGTTCATACCTTTTGACCACTTTTTGTTTGTGGGGTTTATCTTTTTGTAAAGTAAACTTTTTCACTGAGATATAACATAACATACAGAAAAATACACAAATCTTTTTATGAATTTTCACAAACTGAACAAATAAGGTAACCAGCACCCAGATCAAGAAATAGAACATTACTGGCTCCCCAGACAGCCTCCTTGTCCCCTCCCATTCACTGTGTTCCTTCCAAAATTTAGGGGATTAATTTTGCCTGTGTTTGAACTTTTCTTTTTTTGGCAGCTGGCAGGTACAATGTGTTTGAACTTTATGCAAGTGGACTCACAGTATGATTCGTGGTTGGCTTCTTTTCAACTTTATATTTATGAGATCCCTCCATTTTTATATATATCTTCTTATTCTTGATTTACAAGATGTTCTTTATTTCGTCTGGAAGCTAATCTTTTGGTATATAATATTTTGGAAGAAGATGTAGGAGAATGTTCTCCTACTTGCTTAATTAATATTGTTTTTTGTTCACTTATTTTTGTTTGCTTTTCTTTTTTGGTGGCTGGCCGTTAAGAGGATCAGAATCATTGATCAAGGTGGCAGCCTAACCCACTAAGCTAACCAGCCAGCCCTACTTAGTGTGTGTTAAATGAACACTTTTAATTTACTGAAGTAAACATATTTAAAGAAAAAACTTAAGATCGCTATCATTCTGAGCAAAAAAATCCGTGAAAACACAGGTTTGAAATTCTAATTACTTTTAAAAAATCCATTGAGATTAATATACAACTTTTAAAAAAATGTTCATATGTGTGCTACCTAAATTCTGTCCTGCACCACCTGTGAGTTCATGTTTTATTTATTTTTTTGTTTTGTTTTGTTTTGGCGGCCGGCGGGTACAGGGATTGAATCCTGAACCTTGGTGTTAAAAGCACCTCAATCTGACCAACTGAGCTAACTGGCCAGCCTCTTGTTTTTTGGGGGGTGGTGGTGGGTTTTTTTACATATTCATTCAACAACTATTGCTTACCAAGTCTGTACTTATTCTAGGTTCTGTATATGTTTTTCATTTGGCACTCTCTAAAAGTAACTTTATCCTTTCTAAAATACTAAAATAACTTCTAGTTCACCCTTTTGTGATATAATTTAACTTCACCTTTTTCTGTGTTATAATTTAAATGTTTGCTTTTAACGAGTTAATGCTTTTAACAGAAAAAATGTGGTACAATATAACTGTTCTATTCACAAGATAATTATAGCATTCAGAAAATGCATTATTTCCGAGTGCACTACAGTGTGATGCAGTAATGAGAGTTTAAAGTTGTCAAATAGATGCTTTCTCCTTTTAGATTTCGTGCCTTTTTACTACATAAGTAATACATATTCCTTGTGGGAATGTCAGAAAATGCAGATGAGCAAAATAGGGTAGGGGAAGAAGCTTGTATTGGGGATGAGGTTATGATTTACAAGATGACAAAACACTCCCACTCCCAGTAGCCAAATTAGTATTAGTAGATAATTCAGACACTCAAAACTACATCTGGGGCATGAAGGGGCTAAAAAAAAAAAAAAAAAAAAAACATCAAGTGAAAAGAGCCCTGGGCCGCGAATCCCGGCTCGGCTCCGCCTTTCCATACCGTCCCGCCTCCAGCCCCGCCCCTCAGATTCCCTGTCAGTCCCAGCTCTCGCGAGAGAGCATCCCGGAAGTCTCATGGCCTGGAGCTGGTAGTCTGGGAGCCCACGTGGTCTGGGCTTGGAGTTGCGCCGCTGGTCCAGCCCGGGAGCCGCGAGGGGCAGAGGCGCCATGGGGAAGCTGCGCCGGCGGTATAACATCAAGGGGCGCCAGCAGGCCGTCCCCGGCTCTTCGAAGGCCCCCCCCGAGCCGCCCCCCGTGCGGTTGGAACTAGAAGGTGAGACGTCCCGGGACGGGCTATGAGTTTCGGGGGAGGGGCCGCCCAGGGCTTCGCCGCCAGGGCTGGCCGCCGGGAACCAGGGGTCCGCCGGCCTGTACCCTGCCTTCGTGACTCTAGGGCGGGGGTCCCAGAGAAGAACGCCCACTACAGGTGATCCAAAAGAGGGGGGACAGTGACAGCCTAGTTTTAACAATGAATATGGGACGGTACCCAGGGTGTCTCTCACCCTAAAATAGTAGCATGGAAAATTGCACAAGAAAATGAAGTAGTTCGATCTTTTCCCGTGACTTTTATTATAATCTCCTTGCCAGAGACCCCTCAATTTGTATTTTTTAGCCCAGTCCTGTCTGCTGAGCTCCGGGCTGCATAACATTTCTGCCCAGACTCCTTTGTAGTACAAGTGCCAGGCACTATTCGGTCCTGGAGACATAGCACAAAAGGAGATTTTAAAAAGTCCTGCCGCCGCGAGCTTACGTGCTTATGGGAGGAGACAGGCAAAGGAGACACGTTGTTGACACAATATAGAGTGTTGTGTGGGTACAGGTACTAAGGAGAAAGAGCCTAAGAGGTGATTAGGTGGGTTGTGGTGTTCTGCGGGGTGGCCAGGGAAAGCCTCACTGAGAAAGTGTTATTGGAGTGTTATTGAAGTCCTGCAGGTAGGACCTCATGAGTCACCGCAAGGCTGACTCGAAATGAGGGGGAGCCATGGGAGGGTTTGGAGCAGAGGAGGGACAGGACCTGGGCTTATGTTTTAACAGCATCACTTTGGCTTCTGTGTTGAGGAAAAACAAAGGTAAGCCAAGGCGATCAGTTAGGAAGCTGGAGTTGATGCTTGGAACAGGGAGGCAGCAGTACAGGTGGTGAGAAACTATCGGATTCAGGATGTGGATTTGAAGGTGGAGCTGGCAGGATTTGCTGGCGTGTGCACAAGAACAAAGGAGTTGACAAGAATGACTCCCAGGCCTGGCCACTGGAGAAGGCAGGAGTGGGCAGCTTGGGAGAACCAGGAGCTCAGCTTTGGATATGAGTGGTTTGCGGGCCCTGGTAGATATCCAAGGAGAGAGGGTGGACAGGCAGCTGTTGACCCGGATGCTCAGGAGAGGCAAGTGCAGGTGGAGATATCAATTTTGGAATCATCTGTGTGTAGATGATATTTATGTAAAGTCTGAAGGCTGGATTGGCTTACCAAGGGAATGAGTCCAGCCCTGGAGGAGAGGGAAATGAGCAGGAGCCTGCAAGGGAGATGGAGTGGTCTGTGAGGTGAAGGAGAGCTGGGAAGGAGGGCTTCCCATCTGCGTCAGATGCTGCTTTGGTGTCAGGGAGGGAGAGAAGGACCACTGGATTTAACACCAAGAGGGCATCAATCACCTTGATTGGGCCAGGTTCAGAGAAAAGGTGGGATGAAGTGATTGAGTGGGTTCAAGGATGTCTTGCAGGCCCCTGAAACTCAATGTGTTCCAAAATCGAGCTCATCCAACTTCTTGTGTAAGCCTCCCGAGGGCCGGGCTGATTTAGCATTAGGAAAGATTCCAGAGTCCAGAAGTGGATGGAGGGGGAGCTGGGGCTGCTGGAGAAGCCTGCTTCGCTCTACCCACCAGTCTGCATTCTCTTCCACACTCTTGTTGGACCTGGAAGACAGTGAGGTTCCAGGAAAGAATGTCAGGATGGGAATCTGGAAGGCTGAATTCCCTCTTCACATTGCACAGAGAGGCTGGGAGTTGAGGTAAATTGCTTAACGTTTCTGTTCCTCGATTTTCTCATCTGTAAAATGGGACCAGTAGTAGTGGCCATCCTACCTGCTATCAGAGTTTTGGAGGTGGCATATTGTGAAAATGTGTTTGTGACCAAAACAAGAGTGCTTTGAAAAGTTAAGAAAAGCTATGGAGGCATGAGGCATCTGGTGCCAACCAGAGTAATAGCAGTGACAGCACAGGACAGCACCTCCTAAAGGGCTAAAGACCCCTGGACTGACAGCTGACACTGGACCATTAGAGCCAAGGGGCTGGGGTCTCTTGGACCCAGAGATTTGGGGGAAGTTGTTTCTCACATCAGCACAAGACATCTCCATTTATCCCCACCTGTCTCAGGAGCCAGAGGGATCTTACGAGAACTTAACTCAGATCATCTCCCTCGAAGAGCCTTCCCAACCATCTGTTTCATATTGCCACCCACTTCTTTATTTTTATTTTCACCAAGGGGCTGGGGTCTCTTGGACCCAGAGATTTGGGGGAAGTTGTTTCTCACATCAGCACAGGACATCTCCATTTATCCCCACCTGTCTCAGGAGCCAGAGGGATCTTACGAGAACTTAACTCAGATCATCTCCCTCGAAGAGCCTTCCCGACCATCTGTTTCATATTGCCACCCACTTCTTTATTTTTATTTTCATCACATCCCCTCCCCTTTTTTTTCCTACAGCACAGTGGTTCTCAGACTTTTTGATCTCAGAACCCTTTACATTCTTAAAAAATGAGGACCCCAAACAGTTTTTGTTAGTGTGGATTATATCAATCAATATTTACCATATTAGAAATTAAATTTTTGAAACACAAGAATATATATACAAGTACATGCTCCATTAGCCATCAGCGCAACAATGATTTGGAGCCTATGGAAAACACCACTGTCCACTCTACGCTCTTTTTTGGGGGAGGGGGGCTTTTAATTCTATTTATTTGAGAACTGCAGAATGGGGACAGGTAAGGGGTAGGTAGCATTGCTTAAAATTGTCTCATTCTTAATTAAGGTCACAGAACCTCTTCTGCTCTTTGTAACATAAATAAAGACATACAAACTGAACAGTGAATAAAGAATCAGATACTTCCCATACAAGAACACCAGAGAGGAAACCCCAGCTTCAGATGTAAGGCAGAAATAGGTACTCTCCAAGGTTTCTCCTCCCTAAGATTCTGCAGTAGGTGGAGTTGAAGAGTAATATGATAACTGAATTTTTCTAAAATGGTATAGATTGTATACTTTCAAAGTATTATGTTTAAAAGTAGATCTGACACCAACTGAGCAGCATAGTCTACTGGGCATTCTTAGAGAATGTCATAGTATCATTATGAAAACAGTTTTGACCTCACAGATGCACTTGTTCTATCTGCAAGCTCAATGGGCTCACGGTGGGGCAAGGGCCTGCAAGAGGCAGGAACAGAGCTGCCCTGGAGGGGAAGAGGCCGCATTGGTGAGGGTCTGCACCCTTTGGCTTCCTGGGCTGTGGGTGAGGCAAGCATGTCTTTTCAGACCAGGGCACATTGAAAGGAGTTGATGCAAGCAATGCGCTTGTCCTGCCGGGGAAGAAGAAGAAGAAGCCCAAAGCCCCACCCCTGTCGAAGAAGGAAAAGAAGCCTCTGACCAAGAAAGAGAGGAAAGCGCTGCAGAAAATCTTAGAGCAGAAGGAGAAAAAGAGCCAGGTATGCCCCACTCTGGCACACGGCTCTGCCAGCGTGGTCTCTGAGCAGACTGTCCGTTGGAACTTTCTGAGATGACAGAAATGTTCTATGTCTGCATGGTCTGATGCAGTAGCCACTAGCCGCAGGTGGCTGTTGAGCCCTTGAAATGTGGCTAGTGTGGCTGAAGAACTAAATTTGTAATGTGATTTACTTTTAATTAATTTAAATTCAAATAGCCTCGTGTGGCTGGTGACCTCCATACTGGACAGACGACTCCAGAGCCTTCACACCCTCCCAGGAACCTGCTGCTTGGGACTCTGTCAGTCTGCATCACTTCCAAGTTTGTTGGGGCCAAACATTGGCTACCTGGGCAGTCATTTGGTCAACATGCTCAATTTTTTTTAAAAAATCACTTTTGTGTTATTTTTTAACTGTATTCTAGAGAACTTCAAACTTTTTTCATTACTAGCTGCTTGGGACTCTGTCAGTCTGCATCACTTCCAAGTTTGTTGGGGCCAAACATTGGCTACTTGGGCAGTCATTTGGTCAACATGCTCAATTTTTTTTAAAAGATCACTTTTGTGTTATTTTTTAACTGTATTCTAGAGAACTTCAAACTTTTTTCATTACTATTTTTTTTTTAAGGAAAAAACTTTGTAATGGGAAATTTATTCATTTATTTATTTATTTTGGCAGCTGGTCTGTATCGGAATACAGACCCTTGACCTCGGTGTTATAAGGTGGCACTGACTGAGCTAACCTGCCAACCCTTGAAATGGGAAATTTAAACGTATATAAAAGAATATTATAATAAACTCCCATGTACCTATCACCAGCTCCAACAGTTACCCAGCCCTGGTCAGTCCTGGGTCATCTCAACTGTGGTCATTCTTCTATCTCCTGAGTCATTTTAAAACAAATCCCAGGCAGAATAAACCTGTATTAGTTTCCCGTGGCTGTTTGTAACAAATGACCACAAACTGGGTGGCTTAAAACAACAGAAATTTATTCTGTCATGGTTCTGGAGGCTGGAAGTCCAAAGTCAAGGTGTCATTAGGTCTGAGCTCCCTCACTAGGCTCTGGGGAGGATCCTTCCATGCCTGTTCCAGCCTCTTGGGCTCCAGGCTTCCTTGGCTTGTGGCTACATCACTCCTGTCTCTACCTCTGTCTTTTCATCCCCTTCTCTGTGTGTCTCTGATAAGGACACTTGTCTGTGGATTTGGGGGCCACTTGGATAAGCCAGGTTGCTCTCAAGATTCTTAACTTAATTACATCTGCAAAGATCCTTTTACCAAATAAGATCATGCTCCCTGGCTCCCGGGTATGAACATATCTTTCTGTGGGCCACCATTCAACCCACTATACATAGTATTTTATCCATAAATATTTTAATTTGTGTCTCTAAACCACAATACCATTAACACACCTATATTTTTTAAAATATCACATATCCAGTAAATGGTCAAATTTCCAATTGTCAAAGATGTTCCCCCACCCCATCTCTTTTTTTTTCTCCCTCTCTCCAGTAATATACTTGAAGAAATTGTGTTGTCTCATAGAATTTCCTACAGAATGGATTTTTAAAATTTTATCTCTTTGATGTAGTTAAACCTGCTCCTCTGCCTTCCAAATTTCCTGTAAACTAGTATTTGGATCTAGAACAATGGTTCTCAACCAGGATATTTTTGCACCCAGTTTTGTGGATTGTAACAACTTGGGGGAATGCTGCTGGCATCTGGTGGACAGAGGCCTGGGCTGCTGCTAAATGGCCTGTGGTACACAGAACAGCAAAAAATTATCCAGCCCAAAATGTCAATAGTGCTGAGATTGAGGAACCCTGCTGTGGAGGTTTCATGAGATTCAAGTTTGACTTTCTGGCGAGGCCACCACACACCAGTACAGTGTATTTCCATCAGAAGCACGTGGGTCTCTCGTTAGCGGCCGTGGACATACAGTCCCTGGAGCCACTGATAGAGAGAAGACTCACACTTCTGCGAGTGTAGCCTTTCTCATCCTGTTTAGTATTTTTTTCCCTACCATCCTATACCTTGCCTTTTTTAAAAATAGTGCAATATACATATGGAAGTGTGTATAAAACGTATATGTACAATTTGCAGCTTGACCTTTGATTTAAAAAGAGCCTTGCTAGGCTCTGGGGAGGTATTATCACTGCTGAAATTTTATTTAGAGTTCCACTTCCCTTCTGAGGAGAGGCCATGGTGCCAAAGGCATGACACATTTGTTTCCTTTCCCAGCGAGCAGAGATGCTGCAGAAATTGAGTGAAGTCCAGGTTTCGGAGGTCGAGATGAGACTTTTTTATACCACATCGAAGCTGGGCACTGGGGAGCGCATGTACTACACCAAAGAGTGAGTCGACCAGCCCCTCCCTCCTGCCAGGGCTCCCAGGGGATAGTTGACAGGTTATGGCATCTTCTGGGGGTGGAGTGTTATGAGAAAATACATTTGTGGTGACCCGAGTGGCTGACGATCTTCTGTGCTAAATGCCCCTAATGGGTAAAGGCCATCAATGCTGCTAAACATCCTATAATGCACAGGACAGCAAAGTTTCTTGCTCTGCTAAAGGGGGTATGACCTCATCTAGACTTAATGATATCTGCAAAGAACCTATCTCCAAATAAGATCACATTCTGAGGTTCTGGGTGGACTTGGATTTGGGGGAGATAACTATTCAATCCAGTAGAGCCAACATTTAAGAATTAGGAGGTTTCACATTAAAATCCAGGTTCCCACTTGGTCTTGACCAGTTGGGCAATCTGGCCACACCAGGTTGGCATTTCTCCCGGGCTGCCGACCTCACACAAGCCTGCATGCCCCTCCCACCCTGCCCCCCATGCTCTGCTGTCTCATATGCAGTCGCTGTGGTCATTTGCCTGTACTGGCCTGTCCCTGCAAGCTCATGTTCATTAGTGACTGTTCACTGAGGGCAGACCCTGTCCCGGGCTCTCCTCTAGGGCCTGGGGATAGAGCAGTGCACAAAAATTAAATCCTTTACCTTAGGGAGCTTACAATCTAATGGTGGGGAGATGGGCAGTCATCAAACAAATACGTATATATCAAGTACCAAGCAAAAAATAAAGCAGGGAAAAGTGCATGGAAGGAGAAGGGGAGGTGTTTTGGATTGTATGATCAGGCAAAATCTTCGGGGACATTCGAACAGAGACTTGAGTTTAGTGAGGGAGAAGTTATCTGCAGGAAGGGTGTTTCTGGGGGTGGGAACAGCAAGCGGGCCCTGTGGTGGAAAGGGGCATGGCCTTTGAGTCCTGACCTCTGGTGAGTATTCAGCAACCCATAGCTGCCTTGGGTGTCCTAGGCCTCTGTGCCTGAAGCCTCTGCTCTCCCTGCAGGAAACCCAGTGAGATTGCAGCCCAGGGTCAGGAGAAGATCAGCAGCCTGAGTGGGGCCCACCGGAAGCGGCACTGGCCATCAGCAGAGGAGGAATCCGAGTCCTCGGAGGAGGAGTCTGAGCCTGATGAGGCCCCAGCCCCCGAGCAGGCTGGGGCTGGTGCAGGGACAGCAACAGCATGTATGCCGCCAGCTCCACTGGGGACCAGGGATGAGAGCACAGTGCCCGGCAGTCAGCTCTCCCTGGCTGGGACTTCTGCCCCCTCCCCTCCAGCAGTAGCCTCTGCCCTGGCCAGGCCCCCAGCCAAGCCCGCCATATTCATCCCTGTGAACCGCTCCCCAGAAATACAGGTTTGCTGCTCCAACATTTGTGACTAAGAATGTAGGTTAGCCTGGTGAGGGCTGAGGGTACAGGGAGAGGACCTGTTGGTGAAGTGGGACAGGCTTCATCCCTCTCTGTGCGCCAGTGGCCTCATCTGGGAAAGGGGAGGATGACAGTGCCTGCCTTGTGGGTAGAGAGTGATGAGCATTGATGCTCCACAATGCAGGTGAGGGGCGATGCAGGTGAGGGGCGGGCAGCAGGCCTGGCTCACAGTCGGGGCAATCGAGGGCATGTCTGCAGGCTTCATCACCATATCCTCTGACTGCGTGTCCTATCCAGGTGGCCACTAATCCAGAGAAGAGTCTGGGCAGTAGAATCAGTTGACCTGAAATCGAGTGCTGGGTCCACCACATTCTAGCTCACATCCTGAGCCTCGTTTTCTTCATCTGTAAAATGGGGGTATTCCATCTACTTAAGGTTCTCTACTTCTCTGTGCCTCAGTTTCCTTACCTGGTACAACGAGGTTCTCTCTGGGTTGTCATTCAATGAAAGGATTTAGGGTATGTAAAGCCCACAGTAGAAACCCTGAACCCTTAGAGGTGTCATTTTTGACCGTCTTGTCTGAGGGGGTGTGAGGTTTTGGTGACATCATAGATGCCAGGTCACTTAGCCCAGGGCCTGACCCAATACAGTTGGTGGTTATTCCGTTTGTCCATCAGTGGACACATTTCTGCTGAGTGTATGCAGACCAGACCCTGTACTGGGCACAGGAAATGGGATGATCTGGACCATGGTGTTATCAGCTGGACAGCTGATATGATTCAGTTCTCAACTGAATCGTTTGATCCCTGTACTGACTGGCCAGTACCAAAAAAAAAAAATTTTTTTTAATGCTTTTCATTTCATGACCCAAAGATGCTTGTGACTTCCAGTTTGCAAAGACTGCCTGAGAGAAACTGATTCAGTTCTCAACTGAATCGTTTGATCCCTGTACTGACTGGCCAGTACCAAAAAAAAAATTTTTTTTTAATGCTTTTCATTTCATGACCCAAAGATGCTTGTGACTTCCAGTTTGCAAAGACTGCCTGAGAGAAACATTTGCACGTGTGTGCATAAGAGAAGAAAAAAATGTTTAAAACAGCAGTTAAGATAATAGCAAAAAGCTAAAACAACCCAAATGGCCAGCAACAGAATACTTATACTGTGGTATACTCACATGATGGAACACTCAGTAGCAGTGGGGAAATATTGGAATAGACCTCAGCTACATGCATGGACATGGATAAAGCTCAAAATATGTTTAATTACAAAAAAAAACAAATAGAAAAATATAAATGACACAATGTCATTTATAAAGACAGGCAAACCTAAGCAATATCTTGCTTAGGAATACACATATGGAAAAAAATAACAAAGAAAAGCAAGGACTGATGTCCCAAGGGATGACAGGGAGAGGACTTGGAGGATCCTGGGTCTCTGAATGATTGTGTGGAGCAGAATTCCACACCAACACTAACCACCAGATGGCACTGGGCTATGACATCACTTGGAGGCAAACCTTTGTAATGTGAAGCCACATTTGTTAGAGCAGTCAGCAAACCCTGATTAATACTTTATATATAAGCAAACAAATGTACCTATAACTGAAATTATAGTCTCATTAAACAGTACTTTTTCTCATTTAGAACAATGCACTAGAATTTTCTATCCTTTTTCACTTGAAGAAAAAGGACCTAGTCACATGCCACCTAACTTTCTATAACATGCTTTATAGTTTGAAATAGCTGCTGGAGGAACCCAGCCACCTTCCTGCCTCAGTGCCTTTGCTCGCACAGTTCTCAGTGTGGGATGGTGCCCTTCTTCTTGGCTCCTGCTGGTCTTTTAGCTCTTGCTCTGGACAATTTCCCCGATGGAATAAAGTAAAAATAGAGCAGAACAAAAAATATTAGCTTATTAGCATGCTTGACACATTAGGGTAAGCAATGTTTTATGAAACTTTTCCTTCAGTATATAATGTGTGTGTGTGTGCATGTGTGTATGTGTGTACTGAGTCATGATGTAAAATGTGTTTCTTTCTGTGGGTCATAGGAAAAAAATATTTGAAAGCCACTGCTCTAGAGAGCATACCTAGGAGAGAAATTGCCAGATCCAACATCCTCAGCTTTGATAAAATTAGTATCAGATTGTTTATTGAAGTGATCATACCATACATTGAGATTGCCACCAGCTGCAGCTGGGAGTTCCCATGTCTCAAAGAGGTTTCTCTGCACCAGCCAAGCTGCACCCGAGGACATTGGGCCTGTGGTTCCAAAGGACACAGTCCATGTCTCTGTCTCCAGGAGCCATGGCTCTTTGCCCCCTATATGACTGTCTCATAGCTATCAAGGCTTTTATTCACCAACAGACATATCTGTGCACTGCCTACATGCTGGCTGCCACCTTTGTAGAGGCCATGTTGCCTTATGTATTCTTGTTGTGAGTGAGTGGGGTCACCTTATCTCCTCTGTCATCCTGCGGCCCTCCACTCCCCAATTCCCTGAGTGCTGGCTTCGTCTCTCCTACCAGGAAGAACGGCTAAAGCTCCCCATTCTCTCTGAAGAACAAGTGATCATGGAGGCTGTGGCCGAGCACCCCATCGTCATTGTGTGTGGCGAGACTGGCAGCGGGAAGACCACGCAGGTGCCTCAGTTTCTCTATGAAGCTGGTTACAGCAGGTAGGAGCGAGACACAGGGTTCTCTGAAGGTTTCTTTGGTTACACTGAAGATGTCCCTGAGCCTGAGCTCCCAGGGATCCAATCCTGACTCTGCCATTTATATGCTATGTGACTTCAGACAGGCTACTTTACCTCTCTGGGCCTCGGTTTCCTTGGCTGTGAGATGGGGATAATAATAGCACCTATTTCACAGGGTTGTTATGTGGATTACGTGAGTAGATTTGCCTAAGATGCTTATATCAGCCCTTGGCATATAGAGTGATATATTTACTGTTATCACTGTGTAGCTCCTGTTGGCACCTTTGAACCATGTGTGTCGGGTTCCCCAAGACCACCCCCTGGTTCACTGATTCGCTAAGAGAACTCCTGGGACTGAGTGTACAGTTGTACCCATGGCTGTGATTTGTTACAGCAAATGGATGCAAAGCACAACCAGCAGAGGGAAAAGTCATATGGGGTAAAGTCTGGGGGACTCCAGGCCCAAGCTTCTGCAGCCCTCCCCTGTGGAATCCCATAGGACACTTAATTCCCCCAGTAATCAGTTGTGAAACACGTGTGAAATGTCTTCTACGAGGAAAGCTTGATAGAGACTTAGGGCCCGTGGTTTTTACTGGGGTCACCAAAGCCCACTCTGACAGGAACCCAAATCCCAGATGCCCAGAAGGAAAGTAGGTGTTATCCATAAACCACATCACTTGTACAAACAGGTTAGGGGCAGTGAGCCTTTCTTACCAGGAAGTAGAGGGAATCCTCCCAAAGTCCTCCAGATGCCAGCCGAGGGCCAGGCTTGCCAGCAGCCTTTCTAGGGAGAGCAGCCTTGGCCCATGTTGCTTACTCATCCCTACAGAGTCTGGAAACAATTATCTGTCCCCTTGCAGGTTTTTTTTTTTTTCTTCTGGGCAGCTGGCTGGTACAGGGATCGAATCCTGGACCTTGGTGTTTTCAGCACCACGCTCTAACCAAGTGAGCTCACCAGCCAGCCCAGCAGGCTCTTGTATCTGGAGGAGTGTGCACTCAACGGGCTGCCAAGCTGCTGGCCAGCTGGAGCCAGGCCCTGTTCCTTCTAGCAGCTGCCTGGCATCTGCTGTGCCATGATTATCTGACCATCTCCTGCGTGTTGACACGTGGGCTGCTCCTCTCTGCCAGCTAGACAAGGACTGAGTCTATACAGTGCATTTTGACGTAGAGCTGTGTGTAGCTTTTGGGGCTGAGCACTGTTCATGTGTTGTGTTTTCCCTCCCCTAGAGACGACAGCATCATCGGAATCACAGAGCCCCGCCGTGTGGCCGCTATGGCCATGTCCCAGCGAGTGGCCAAGGAGATGAATCTTTCCCAGCGGTGAGGGCTCTACTTCCTGGGAGAGGGATCATGGGGTGGTCCTGTGGTCCTGCCTGGGTTTCAGCTGCCCAGGAGTTGATGAGCAGTGTCATGGGCACCCATGCCAAGGGTGCTGGGTGGGAGTGTCACTGGGAATCCTCATATGAGAGTGCTTCCTACAGGGCCTGCCTGGGTAGGGGGGCCACAGAGCAGGGACAAAGCCAGCCAGGCCTTTAGATGTACATGACACAGTGCATGAGGGGACAATATGGCCCATATGGGAGCGTGAGGACAGAGCAGGTGGCCACACACAGGCAGTCACATAATTAGTGCTTAGCATTGCCAAGTTAATTTAAAAGTCTAGGTTCCCAAATGTAGAATCCTCCTGGCAGTAAGTCTGTAGGACTTGCTTTGGAAAGCAATTTGAACACGGCAAGCATCTCATTTGCTGTAGAATGGCTCGGGAGCAGGTGTTTGCGGTGCAGATACCTGGGCCTCAGCCCACACTCTCGAATGCGGGTTTGAAGAGGTAACACATCCATTGTGGTCTAAAACCCAACAAGCACAAAAGAGGACAGAGCAAGCGTCTCCTGCGTCCATCCACTCATCAGATAGTTACTTACTGAGTGGTGCCTACTGTTCGCAGGCCCAGCCGGGGCTCTTGGAACATGGTGATGAACCAGACAGAGACACCTGCCTCCCTGGGGCTGGCATGAAAATCATGGGGGTTTGTTGTGTTTGTGCATTAGGTGGCCAACGTGCTGGGAAGGACACTAAAGCAGGGATGGGGTAGTAGGGGAGTCCCTTTCCCACCCAGCCCCAGCTTCCCTTCCCAGAGACAGCCACTGCCCACTTCCAATGTGTCCTTCTACACAGTTCTGTGCACAGACAAGCAACTGAGTCTCTTTCTGTGTCTCTTTCATCTGTTTTTGACACAATGTGGCGTGGTACACACTATCCTGTATCTCATCTCTTTTCTTTAATAATATATCTTGAAAATAACAATACATAAAAAACTACCTCATCTTCTCTTTAACTTTTTAACTCTTTTTAACTTTTTATGTAAACTTTTAGCTTTTTTATTGTAAAACTCAAGCATATACAAAAGTAGAAAGAAGAGTATCACAAGTCCCCAGGTACCTGAGATCCAGTTTCAGTAGTTATCACCTCATGACCGGCCCTGTCCCCCCACCCACCCACCATCCCTGATTTTTTAAAATCAAGTCTCAGATGTCTTATTTTATCCCCAATATTTCACTGCATAAGTCTGAAAGATAAGGAGTTTTTACAGCGTAGCTACAGTAGCCCTGTCATAACTAAAAAATACATACATAATAACTTCTGAGTATCCTCCAGCCCATGTTCAGATTTTCCTGGTGTCTCCTGACAAGCTCCTGAGCACTTGGGCTCCAGCCCTGGTCGCACGTGCATTTGGTTGATGGGGCTCCTCAGCTGGTGGTAATTACTCTCTCCTCCTCTCTGAAGACCAGGCATTGGAAGGGGCCAGCAGGTTGGGGATGTGTCTAAGTCTTGTTCTGGTGGCTGGTGGGCCCTGCCCTTGGCTCGCCTGCTCAGTTGGACTAGGCCTCCTCCACTTCCCCCTTGCAATGGCCACATGGCTACAGCCCCAGCAAGCCTCTCCTGAGCTGAAGCCTGTTCCCACAGGGCCGTCTCCTACCAGATCCGGTATGAAGGAAACGTGACCGAAGAGACCAGAATCAAGTTCATGACAGATGGCGTGTTACTCAAGGAAATCCAGAAGGTGAGTTGCTCGTCTTGGCTGACAAAGCAAGGCCAGGGAGCCTGGGAGCGTGGAGTTAGATGTCACGCATGATATGAGCAGCCAGCATGCCAACTATTGGCAGCTCATTACATACGACTGTGCTGCTCTGTGACTTGGGTGAGTTACTTAACCTCTCTGAGCTTCAGTTTCTCCATCTGTTCACTGAGGTCTTCCTCATAGAATTGTTGTGAAATAGAAATTGTACAAAGCATGAGAGTGGCTAAGCACAATGCCTGGTACCTAGTAGGTGTTCATTAAATATGAGCTCATATTTTTATTATGATTTGGTTCACAGAGTTTGTGCATTCCCCGAATGTATACTGAACAACCGTGATGTGCTGGGCACTGCCTGGTATGTTGAAGACCCAGTCATGGACCAAGGCATGATCTCGTATTGGAGACTTCCTGGTCCAATTCATGCTAAGGAATAGGGGAGGGGGCTGCTGATTCTTGCCCATGAACAGTGGTGTGTTTTCACATCCCCAGCCATGGAGGCCTGTGTTACAAGGACATTCAGTATGTAAATCAGGGAACATAGCCGCTGCCTCTCCAGCCACTCACTCAGGAAGCTTCCTAGGGAGTTGGAATGTTCTGGGAACTTGGCCAGACAGTCATACAGGGTGGCATGCATGTCACCAGGGAGTGTGCGGGGCCCAGACTGAGGTTTGCAGTCTGATGAGGGCTGATCTGTTCCTGGCAGGCTGTGTGATGTCCCCCAGACAGGCGGAGTCTTGGGGGAGGATCAAGGTGACTTCAACCTTCTCAGCCCCAAGGCCACCTAGGGGTCTCTGTTTTGGCTCTAGGTGGCCCCTTTCTGTGTGGCGCATGCTGTCCGATTGCCCACAGTACCCTCCGCATATCTCATCATTTCCATTTCCTGCCACACTCCACCCTGTGGGCATCTGTACTTGGTAGCTCAGCTCTGATAAATAGTAGCTGCCCCTTGTCTAGCACTTTCTGTCCCAGGCCCCAGCCCCATGCTATGTCCTTTATAGGTATTAGCTGTCATCCAAACCTCCCCATGACCCAGGAGCTAGGTCCTGTTGTTCCCATTTTCTGATGAGGAAACTGAGGCACAGGGAGGTGAAGTAACTTGCCCCAGGTCATAGAGCTGGGATTCCCCCCGAGACCAAGTGCTCAGGGTCCTTTTGGCTATCAGGGGGCTCTTTGGGAGTTCTGGGATATGAAGTGACTGGTGGCTCCGGCCTGGGGGGGAGGCCAGCCTCACTCTCCCGACCTCCTCCCCAGGACTTCCTGCTGCTGAAGTACAAGGTGGTGATCATTGACGAAGCTCATGAGAGGAGTGTATACACGGACATCCTCATCGGCCTTCTGTCCCGTATCGTGTCTCTCCGGGCAAAGGTAGCATAGGAGGTGGGATGACAGGGAGTCCCCACGGCCAAGCCCCCTACCACACCCACGGCCACACGCACACACACACACACACACACCCCTACCTCTGTCGGGAACTCAAGATCCCTTGGCCCACGCCCATCTGTACCCGAGGCTGCTGCTGTGAGAAGGCCCCATGGGCCTGAGTCCAGGCCTAGCACCAGAGCTGTGAGTCTCAGTGTGACCCCACCCTGCCGTTCTTCCTACCACAGGGGTCCTGGGTGCAGCCTCATTAGCCCATGAGAGGCTCAAGCAAGGAGCTGATGCACTGCCAGGCCTCACTGGAATCAGCTTTAAGGTGCCACCAAGTCTTTAGAATATGCGGAGTGGGCAGGGCTGCCTGGCCAAGCCCTTGTGCCCCCACACCCTGAGATGGGTTCCCCAGCACTGGCCTCTTTTGCCAGTGTGCTGACAACAGGGAGGGCCATGACCTCCCCTCCATCTCCCTGCCCCACCTAGAGATCAGGCAGAAGTGATGCCCAAGGCCTGCTGGGTGGAAGGATGCTGCCCTAGTGTGGGTGTGGGGGAGTGTCCATGGAGTAGTTTGATCCCAGCCCTCCCGGGCACCAGCTTGATGCAGAGAGAGGCCGGTGCCCTGGGCGTGCCATGTACCTGGCCACGTTTAAGGCACTGGAATCGAGTGAACAGGACACTGTCTTGTTCTTTTAAAAGTTTCTGCCCTCATGGGGCTTCCCCTGTAGTGAGGGCGACAGGCAGTAAACAAGCTCCAAAAGTCTGAGCTGGTGACTGACGAGCCAGGAAGCTGAGGGGCGGGGAGTAGCAGGGAGAGAGTGAAGGGTTGGGGAAGACCTCCCCGAAAAGAAGACTCTCAGGTGGAGGGCTGAGGGAGGTGCGGGAGCAGGCAGTGTGGATGGAGGGGCGAGGAGAGTTCCAAGCAGCAGGAGGAGCAGGTGCAAAGGCTCTGAGGCAGGAGTCTGCCTGGGATCTTTTTCTGTTTTTCTAACAAACTTTTTTGACATGTTATTCACATACCATGTAACTGACCCATGAAAGCGTACAGATCACTGGTCTTCGCTACATTCAGAGTTGCGCAGCCATCACCACAACCAATTTTAGAGCATTTTCATCACTCAGCACTCTAGAAAGCATGTACGCATTAGCTGTCACACCCTTCCCCCAAACCCCCTCCCCATCCCTAGATAACCATTAGTCTACTTTCCGTCCCTATGGATTTGTCCATTCTAGGTATTTCATGTAAATGGAGTCATGCATTATATGGCCTTTCGTGCCTGGCTTCTTTCACTCAGCAGCATGTTTTTGAGCTTCATCAATGTTGTAGCCCGTGTCAGTAATTCACTCCTTTTCATGGTTGGACAATATTCCATTTTGTGGGTAGGCCACATTTTCTTTATCCATTCATCAGTTGGTTGTCATTGGGTTATTTCCACCACTCAGCAGCATGTTTTTGAGCTTCATCAATGTTGTAGCCCGTGTCAGTAATTCACTCCTTCTCATGGTTGGACAATATTCCATTTTGTGGGTAGGCCACATTTTCTTTATCCATTCATCAGTTGGTTGTCATTGGGTTATTTCCACTTTTTGGCTGCTTACAAACATTTGTGTACAAGTTGCTGTATACACATGTTGTATTTCTCAGGTATAAACATAGGAGTGGAATTGCTGGGTCATCAGTGTTTAGCCATCTGAGCCATTTGCCAGACTTTTCCACAGTGGTTGTAAAATTCCATTTTACATTCCCATCAGCAGTGAAGGAAGGTTCCAGTTTCTCCACATCCTGGCCAATACTTGTTATTTTCCATTTTTTAAAAATCCAAGCCATCCTTGTAGGTGTGCAGTGGTGTCTTATTGTGGTCTTGGTTTGTCTTTTGGGGAATATCAGGGAGCCTTAAGCAGCCTAGCAGAGTGAGTGAGGTGGGAGAACGAGGTGGGGGCGGACAGGTACACGGAGTAGGTCCACATTGGGAATGTCACTGCGGGGTGTGAGAAGGTCGATCTGTGCTGTTCCTCTAACCTTGGCCTGCAGTCACCAAAGACACTCTGGTGGTTACTAGCAGCAAAAGATGGCATCCAAGGGCTCGAGAGTGGAGCCCACCATGAGGTTTGTCAGGTGCTACAGGGTGGGCTGGAAACCAGGGAGCATCAGGCAGCTCCTCCCTGAACCTCGGGAACACATCCAAGGGCTCGAGAGTGGAGCCCACCATGAGGTTTGTCAGGTGCTACAGGGTGGGCTGGGAACCAGGGAGCATCAGGCAGCTCCTCCCTGAACCTCGGGAACGGGCAGACAGTTTGGGTTGAGGGGAGCCCGATCCCAGCCCTCCTGCCTCACATTCCGCCATCAAGGACTAACTTATGGGGACTGGAGAGACCCCCTTTAACAAACCACTGCCCTGGGAGAGGCAGATCCTGCTGTCAGCCCACAATTTCCATGAGGTCTTTGGCAACCAGAAGGGGCTTAGGGTGGGGGCTGGGGGGAAGCTGGGAGGACAGAAGTCTCTCCCCGCCCATACCCTGGGTCACTAAGCTGATCTCCCACAGAGGCACCTGCCACTGAAGCTGCTTATCATGTCGGCCACACTGCGGGTAGAGGACTTCACCCAGAACCAGCGGCTCTTTGCCAAGCCACCCCCAGTCATCAAGGTAACACTAGGGCCACAGTCCTAGGCCCTCTCTGTGAGCCTTGCTGGAACCAGGATGCCCTGGTGTCAAGGAGCTCCCGAGAGACCTCTCCTGGTCACATGGGGACTGACAATTGTTGGGGGGTGTTAAAGACCTGGACTCTGAAAGATCAAGAGGACAGAAGGAGGGCCCTAGGCAAAGCTCACTCCCCATGCCTTCTTGGCGTCTTGTAGGTGGAATCCAGGCAGTTCCCAGTGACGGTGCATTTTAACAAGCGGACACCAATGGAAGACTACAGTGGCGAGTGCTTCCGGAAGGTCTGCAAGATCCACCGGATGCTGCCTGCAGGTGAACCTGGCGAGGGGAACGGCTGCTTCTCCCTTTCTGAACCCACAGAGTGAAGGCAGTGTGGGTAGAGGGAGGTCCCAGGCTCTTTGTCTTTCCCCAAATGGCTTGGAATAGACTCTTGTCCTTGCTGTGCCTTAGTTTCCTCACTGGTTCCAGAGTGTCCACAGCACCTGCCCTGCCTCATTCTGCCCAAAATATTGTGAGTCTTCAGTGATTAAGTGAAGGGTAGGAGTTGAGCGCTGGAGTTTGCCTTATGTCCATGTGTGATCAGCAGAGGAATCCACAAGGCACAGGCAGGTGCCAGTTGGCACAGGTGCCCACCCACATACACGGAGCAGGTGTATCCCACCTGAGATTCACCCCTCCTGAAGCCCCTCCACAGTCTTACCATGTCCCATAGCACTTGCTTAATTAGTTGCCTAGTGTTATTATTTAAACTGACTTGACCTCTTCTGGAGGAGTAGGTTTATGTAAAAAGAAAACAATGTTAACAGGAATCAGCTTCACTTACCAGGAATAGATAATAACTGCACAAAATAATCCAGTAGCTCAGACAGTTGTAATAACTTCTAGCCGGAGACTTGTATGCTGAAGTGGGCCCCAGGCTGGCTTTCTCCATGTTAAAAATCTAGAGAGCAGTTGAGATGCTCCCTGTGAGCTTAATTCCGTCCTGCTAGGAAGCCAAAATTCGCTGTTCCATGATGCACTGTCTTTGTTCTGCTTAAGGCATCTCAGTGTTCAGGGGCTCACGGGGCTTCACATCCACTGTCTTAGAGACTGAGTGGTGGGTGAGGGATGGCAGGACGCTGCAGTGGGCGCTTGGGCAGTGGGCCTTTTTGCGGCCTTGTGTCTCAAGTCAGGGAGCACCTGGGGTGGCCGGCCACCCCTTTCAGCAGGAACACCTGCCCGTACAACGACATTGCCACTCCCTGCCACAACATCCTAATTTTCCAACCCCTGTGCTATGGCCTCATCTCATCCTTGGCTGCCATCCACCCCATCTTGTGAATTTTGCCAGTGTTCCTGCCTGCCTTGTTCCCAGGTCCCCTACCATACCTGCCCGTGTGGCCTGGTGTCTGCAGACTCAAGGTTGCATGCTTGCCTTTGTGGTGTGGTGTCTGCAGACTCAAGGTTGCATACCTGCCTTTGTGGCCTGGTGTCTGCAGACTCAAGGTCGGTTCCCAGGTCCCCTACCATACCTGCCCGTGTGGCCTGGTGTCTGCAGACTCAAGGTTGCATACCTGCCTTTGTGGCCTGGTGTCTGCAGACTCAAGGTCTCACACCTGTCCGTGTTGCCTGGTGTCTGCAGACTCAAGGTCGCACACCTGTCCGTGTTGCCTGGTGTCTGCAGACTCAAGGTCACCTCCCTTGGGCCAGAGCTCATTCTGCTTCCTTGCTTGCTCTCCCGTTCTCTTGGTTGCTCTTTTTTTTTGTCCCTGCAGACCTCTTCCTTCACAGACAACATACAAGACATCAGATGGGAGTGCCTTCCTCTTACCACCATCAAACCTGCCAGTGAGATGCCCAACCTGTCCTCCTTCCCTCTTAGCAAGGGAGGCATATCTCATCCCTTGCCTTGCTTCCCAGTTCCCTCTGGCCTCTTTAGGGATCTTGTTCTCTCAGTTTCTCTTCTGCGTTCTGGTTCCTCAACCACTTTCCCTCCACCTACTTCTCACAGTCCCATTAAGTGTGCTCAGGTGTGACCTCTAGAGAAACCCTCCATTGATCTCCCAGCTCCCGCCCTGGCCCTGGCCCTGGCCCTGGCGCCCAGCCTCCTCAACAGCTTGTCTGTGTCCCAGCCTCTGCGTCTCAGTCGCCCCTGCAGCTCCTAGTGTGGCTGCTACCCCTTCGTACCCCTGAGGTTGCCCTCCTGAGGTCACCATCATCTCTCTTTACACTTGTATAAATGTCTTGCTTGGTATTTTGGCAGCATTTGACAGTGAAGACCATGCCTACCCCTCTCTGCTGGCTGTCATCCCACCTCTCTGACCTTCTGTCTCCTCATCTGTCACTGCTGCTGCCTTGTTTTCTGCACGTGTCACTGTTCCTTGTGGGTCTGCCCTGGACCCTTCTCTCTTCCTAAAAGATGACCTCGTCTCAGGAAGCCTCAGCCACCCCAGGGCTCGAGCTTCTCATTGCTAGCTTTAGGGGCGGTAGTAATATATATATAATCATATTTTATGTTATTAGTATGCAGGTACTTTAAAAAGTTCATGGAGAAATAGAATTAGAAGATAATACAAAGTTTTCCACGAAGTTTTTGAAGTCCCCTTGTATGTTTAAGTGCACCGTTGAGTGGCATTTAGTACATTCACAATGTCGTGTGAGCACCACTTCTATTTTCAAAACTTTTTCATCACCCCAAACAGGCACTGTCCCCAGTGAACACTACTAACTCCTCATTCCCTGCTCCCTACCCTGGCAGCCACTAATCTACTTTCTGTTTCTGTGGTAGATGCTTCACAGAGATAGAGTCACAATGTGTGGCCTCTTGTGTCTGGCTTCTGTCACTCAGCACTACGTCTTCCAGACTAATCCATGTTGTAGCGTGTGTCAGCACCTCATTCCTTTTTATGGCTGGACCATATTTCATTGCATGGATAGGCCACATTTTGTTGATCCATTCACCCGCTGATGGACCTTGGGTCACCTCCACCCTTTGGCTGCTGTGAATAGAGCTGCTATGGGAGCGTGTGTACAGTTTTTGGGTCTATGGAGTGCCCCTGGCAGCACCGTCAGTCTGGGGGTGGCTGCCTCTTGCTCATCTGTCTGCAGTCCTGATGTTACTTGTTGCTCATCCCTCCAGCCCTGCCCTCAGAGAAGCACTTGGCAGGTGCTTGATGCTGAGGAAGTGTTTGCTGAGTGACTGACAGACAACGAGGGGCCCTGTTCTTTCCGCAGGCGGCATCCTGGTGTTCCTGACGGGGCAGGCAGAGGTACACGCACTGTGCCGCAGGCTCAAGAAGGCCTTTCCAGCCCGCAGGCCCTGGCTTCAAGGTAACCAGGCCGCAGGTTCCCCTGGCGGAGCACTGGGGCCTGGCCTCTCGCACCCCAGCCGGGGCATCAGCCTATGTCCGTGTCTTCGCTGTGCCTTTCCCTGCCCTCCTCAACCCAAATAGTCACCAGCATAGTGGTCTTGCTCTGGACGATGAAGAGCGAAGTGTTGGTGACCTGCACTGGCCACAGCCATCTTCTCCCAACCCACTCACCCTTTCCAGGAACGGAAGATCAGAGAGACTCAGTGGAAGAAATGCGGAAGTTTAAGAAGTCTCGGGCGAGGGCCAAGAAGGCTCGGGCTGCGGTACGTAGAGGGCAGGGGGACAGCCGGGCCCTGGAACTGTGTGTCCAGGACAGTGTCCACGAGCCCTGTGTGGCTGTTTAGATTTAAACTCAAGTGGAATGAAATGAGAGTCCAGTTCCTCAGTCGTAGCAGACCCATATCAGGTGCTCGGGAGCCACTCGGGGCTTCTGGTGGCCACACTGGACAGCACAGGTCTACACCACTCTCCATGGAAGAGAGTTCTGTTGGATGGCACAGCTCTGTGGATTATGATTTGAAACACATTCAAAACGTGCTCCGGAAGGCCAGGTCCTGAGAACCTGAGCAGGGCCTCTGAGGATCCCTGGGAGGGCAGACAGACCTCTTGGTGCTTGCTGAAGAAGTGTGGGGTGAAGGAAGGGAATGAGGGGCAGGTGGGCTGGGCAGGGCTCACCCCCAGGGCTTCTGCCTCATGTCATCATGGATCTGATAACAGTAGTGACTCAATGACCACTAACTGTGCTGCTGCACTTCCAGTGTGCCAGGCAGTGTTCTAAGTCCTTTATGTGTGTTAACTCACAGTCTTTGTGATGGCCCTATGAGAGAAGTTCTGTGATTGGATGAGGAAACTGAGGCAGGAACCCAAGGCCATGTGGCCGGGGGTGGCAGAGCTGAGCTTCCACACAAGTGGATATGTATTCCCCATATGTGACACATGTTCACAGGGCCACCTGCAGCCCACAGTGTTGGTATTTGTTGACCATAGACGCTGCCCCAGATCAACTTGGATAACTACTCGGTGTTGCCAGTGGGCGAAGGCGATGAAGACAGGGAGGCAGAAATGGATGATGAAGAGGAAGCCCCTGGCTCTGATCTTGACCTGGACTTAGGGGACGATGGAGCAGACACAGGTGTGGCCCTGGCAGAAGTTTATTCATTCAGCATGTGTTGTTTGAGCCCCTACCACATGCCAGGCCCTGCTGTAGATATTGGGGAGACAGTCATGAGGACCCGAAAGTCTGCCCTCACAGGTGCGACCAGTGCAGCCTTGCTGCTCACTAGTGTGTGAGCCCAAGAGAGGGTGGGGACTTCTGGCTGCTTTGTCCCCTGTTTCCTGAGCTCCCAGAGCTTCCTGGCACCAAGTGGACCCTCAACTACTTGTTGTATTGGATATAATGGGGGGTGCCATCCCCAGCGCTTACCTTTGCTGGATGGACACAGGCTTTGGGGGTGGCTGGGGAGTGCCCAGCTCTGGGGTATGCTTGCCGAGGCCTGATGTATGTAGACAGGCCCAGCGCCCTGCTCTGTCCAGCCCGGGACCATGGGGCAGCTGAAGGTACCCCCTTCCACAAGCTCAGCCTCCCCAACCCATGATGCTGCCAAGACATATGGGGCGGGATCGATCCCAGGAGCTATGGCCAGGCTATTGGGAGGAGGAGATTCTGCAGCATGGCTGGGGTTCCAGACCTGGGCCAGGGCAGCAGTGATGGGAGGAGACTTTGGGAGCCTCTTCACGGTCCCCCCAGGCTGCCTGGCTGCAGAGCTGGTCTTGGTGCTGAGCCCCTGGCAGCAAGGCTAGCTGAGCAGGGTGGGGGGTACTGGGCAGCCTAAGGCTGGCTCCTGCTCGCAGGCGTTTGTCCCATCTGGGGTTGCCCGCAGACCTCTGCTTTCCCTGCAGGTGAGGAGCTGGATGCCTCCCTCCCACTCCACGTGCTCCCCCTCTACTCCCTGCTGGCCCCGGAGAAGCAGGCACAGGTAATGGTGCTGGGCCTGCACAGACACCTGGCTGGGGCACCCACCTCGCCTCTCTTACAGGCACCCAGATAGCAAGGAGCTGGTCAAGCCCTGGTTGTCCTCTCTATCCTCTGTCCGACCAGCACCCCTAAATCTTTGAGAGAGTATTGGGGTCTCCTTGGAGAATAGAAAACCCTCCCTGTGTGTGTGCCTAGGAGCATGGGACTCAGGCAGAGGATGGCTGGACCTTGCCACCTCCTGGCCCACCAGCCTGGCCGACTCCTCTCTGATTAAGAGAAATCTCCTAGCTGTGCCCCACTCCTCCATCCCACTAATTCCTTCCTGATTCTGGTCTTGCCATCCCTCCCTCCAACCCTAGGTCTTTAAACCTCCCCCAGAGGGGACGCGGCTGTGTGTAGTGGCCACCAACGTGGCTGAGACATCCCTGACCATCCCCGGCATCAAGTACGTGGTGGACTGTGGGAAGGTAAAGAAGCGCTACTACGACCGTGTCACTGGCGTGTCCTCCTTCCGCGTCACCTGGATCTCCCAGGCGTCGGCTGACCAGCGGGCTGGCCGAGCGGGCCGGACGGAGCCAGGCCACTGCTACAGGTGGGTCACCTGGCTCCTCTCCAGTGATGTTGGGGCTGCTCTGCTGTCCCCCTCCCTCTGCAGTGGGTCTCATGTCCTGCTGGACGTTGTGTCTTCAGGGTGGTACACAAGCCCTCTTCTGGCTTGCTTTCAGGTATTCTCATTATTTATTCTGCTTCTGAAGTCAGGCTGATCTTGGCTGCTGTTTTTTTGTTTTGTTAACCACTTGATCAAGACATAAATTATATAGCATAAAATTCATCATTTTAAAGTAAGGTTCTTCAGTTGGTTAAAGTGCAGCCTTGTAACACCAGGGTCGAGGGTTCAGTTCTCCATACCGCCAGCCACTAAAAATATTTTTAAAAAATAAAGTCTACAGTTCTTTGGTTTTTAGTGTATTTACAGAGTTACATAGCCATCATAACAGTCAATGTTAGAACTTCTTGTCACCCCAAAAGAAAGCCCATACCCCTCATCAGTCATTCCCCACGCTCCCTTCCCCAGCCCCAGGCAACCTCAGCTCTGCTTTCTGACTCTGTTTTGGACATTTCATGTGAATGGAGGCATACACTGCATGTCCTTTGGCATGTGGCTTCCATCACTCAGCATAACAAGTTTCCGATATTCACCTGTATTGTAGCTTGTGTCAGCACTCCATTGCTTGTCATGTCTGAGTAACGCTCCACTGTGTGGATGTGCCATTCACCTGTTGATGGACATGTGGGCTATTTCCGTCTTCTTGCTATTGTGAATAGCGCTTCTGTGAACATTCTTATACAAGTATTTGTTTGAATATCTGTTTTCGTTTCTCTTGAGTATATGTTTAGGAGCAGAATTGCTGGGTCATGTGTATGGTAACTGTAGATTTAACTTACTGAGGAACTAACTGACAGACTGTTTCCACAGCAGCTGTATCTTTTTACATTTCCATGAGAGTTTCAGTTTCTCCACATCTTCGTCAACACTTGTTATTGTCAGTATTTTTTTTTCCTTTTTGTCTTTTTTCGTGACCGGTAACGGGATCGCAACCCTCGGTGTCGCGCCTGCACCACGCTCAACCACTGAGCGGTCCGGTCTGTATATGGGATCCGATCCCTCGGCGGGAGCGCCGCCACACTCCCAAGCGCCGCACTCTACCGAGTGCGCCACCGGGGCTGGCCAATTGTCAGTATTTTTTTTTCCTTTTTGTCTTTTTTCGTGACCGGTAACGGGATCGCAACCCTCGGTGTCGCGCCTGCACCACGCTCAACCACTGAGCGGTCCGGTCTGTATATGGGATCCGATCCCTCGGCGGGAGCGCCGCCACACTCCCAAGCGCCGCACTCTACCGAGTGCGCCACCGGGGCTGGCCAATTGTCAGTATTTTTTAATCTAGCCATCCTGGTGAGTGCAATGTGGTATTTCATTGTGGATTTGGTTTACATTTCCCTAATAGCTAATGACGTGAGCATATTCTTTGAGGAACTGTCTATTCAGATCTATTTGCTCATTTTTTAATTCAATTGTTTGTCTTTTTATTGTTGATGTATAAGAGTTTTTCATGTAATCTGGATATTAGATCCTTATTAGGCATATCATTGGCAAGTATTTTCTCCCAATCTGTGTGCTGTTATTTTTAATAGCTTTATTGCTATTCTTTTCAACACTGGGTTTTTTGGGGGGGTTTTTTGCGCCCCCCCCATCCCCCTCAGCTGGCCTGTGCGGAGATACAAATCCTTAACTTTGGTGTTACAAGGCTGTGCTTTAACCACCTGAGCTAACCGGCCTCAACATTATTTTAAGGTAGAAGAATAGAAAATTCAGGAAACATACAAAGAAAACTAATAAGAAGTAACTACGGTTAAAATTTACTGAATGCTATGTGCCAGGCAATGTTTTAAGCATTCTACATGTAATATCTGATTAATCTTCATCAGTTTCCTACAAAGCAGTTGCTATGTTAGCCCCATTTCACAGAACAGGAAAATGAGTCAGGAGGAGTTAAGTACCTTGCCCAGCAGGTGGCTGGGTCAGGATTCAATCCCCGGTGGTGTGGCTGAGTTTTGTTGTTGCTGTCCATGCTTCTCTCTGCTCAGGCTATATTCATCTGCGGTTTTTGGTGACTTTGAGCAGTTTCCTCCTCCTGAGATCACCCGGAGGCCCATTGAAGACTTGATCCTACAGATGAAAGCTCTCAGCATTGAAAAGGTTGGTCGCAGCCCCCAGCCTTTATCACCCTGTGAGTTCCCAGTGGGCTGTCTCCCCTTCCCCACAGCTCAGGAAGCCCAGGAGCTGGCTGCCCGTGGCGGCCACTTACAGAACATAGCATCAGCAGGTGCCCCAGGGGTCTCCTGTCTCCCGTGACCATGGCTTCCCTAGTGCTGCAGAATGCACAGGGGATGGAGGCACTGAGGTCTTGCTTGCTGCTCTAGGCCGTCAGTCCTTGGGCTCACAGAATGTTCTGCTGACTCTTCCTGGCTGTACCCTGGCCTAGCCCCCCTGGTGGAGGCAGAGGAATCCCACCCAGGGTGGCCCACCTCTCCCCTGCTCCAGGCCAGGTGGTCCTGGCAGAGAGTGCCCCACACCGTGCTGCATGCCATGCAGGTTGGCTCGCTCATCCCCTCCCAACCTGCCATGGGGACATCCAAATCCCCACTTAACAGATGAGGAAACCGAGTCAGTGAAGCAAAGGTCTTTGTCCAGGGACACATACTTGATGGTTGACAGAACCAAGGTGGTCTTCTGTTGCTGTTAAAAAATACATCTTTGGGCTGGCCTGTTAGACTTGGTTAGAATGTGGTATTAGAACACCAAGGTCAAGGGTTTGGATCCCCATACCAACCAGATGCCAAAAAAAAAAATTTCCTCACTGATTTTTTTTGGTTGCAAACATATTGTATTCAAAGTTATAAAAATTCAGTGTCGTAACACCAAGGTCAAGGATTCAGATCCCTGTACCAGCCACCAGCCATCAAAATAACAAAAAAAGTTATAAAAATTCAAATAGTTCAGATCAGTATAGAGAGAGTCCATCATATCACCCATGATTTGTGGCCTGTTTCCCATTTGTGTCTTCCAAACATATAATGTCTTACATTGTTATTACTGTGGTTTCCTACATAGGGGGTGGCATTTTGCAATACCGTATTATGTTTAATTCTTTTCATTGAATAAAATAGTGATAGCTATGATGTATTAGGTGCCAAGTATGCACCAGGAACTCTGCATATGAGATCTCAGTTTATCCTCACAACAGCTCTAGGAAGGAGTTACTACTATTATCACCCCCATGTGTGAGGAGAAAATCGAGGCACTGGGTCAGACCTGACCATGGGGCACATGGCTGGAAAGTGTTGGGGTAGGGATTGGAGCTCAGTCTGGCTCAAGAGCTCCATTTGAAATGCCTTTCCATAGTGAGATCAAGTCACATCTCTTTAAAGTCTTCAGTGGCTTCTCAGTCCTCAGCTGATGGACACTTAGGCTGCCTCTACCTTTTGGCTGTTGTGAATAGTGCTGCTGTGTATAAGGATTCATTTGAACTCCTGTTTTCAGTTGGGCCCTCTTTGTGAGGTGCCATCTTCCTGAGCCCAGTCACACTCTCTCCCCTCACCACTTTATTGTCTGGGCACCTTACTCCCCTGATGCTATCTATTTGCAGGGAGACTCATTGACCGTCCACAGTCCTTCCTGCTCTCATATGTTTATGTCAGGCAGAGCCTTGCCTGTTGTGTTATGGACCTGCATCACCAAGATGGCCCCTGGTGGGCAGTCAGTGCTCAAGACATGCTTTTGAGTGAACGGATGGTGCGATTTATGAAGGGGGCTTTGGGATTAGCCTGGCACCTGGACTCTGAGAGGGCCCCATGTCCCAGCTGGCATGGGTGGTGCTCTGAGGACCGGCAGGAAGGAGCTGCTGAGCCTGGGGTAGTGGCAGGACCTGTTTATGAAGGGGGCTTTGGGATTAGCCTGGCACCTGGACTCTGAGAGGGCCCCATGTCCCAGCTGGCATGGGTGGTGCTCTGAGGACCGGCAGGAAGGAGCTGCTGAGCCTGGGGTAGTGGCAGGCCCTGCCACAGCCAGGACTACGTTGTCCCCATCCTCGTGTCTCCGTGTTCATTCTGTCTCTGCTATTTCTCCCTGTGACCCAGGTCATCAACTTCCCCTTTCCAACACCTCCCTCCATGGAGGCCCTCATCGCTGCCGAGGAGCTGTTGATTGCGCTGGGGGCCCTGCAGGCACCCCAGAAAGCAGAAAGGTAGGACAGGGGCTGGGCAGGGAGGGTGGGGGACCCAGTCCACAGCCCTCTCCCCTTTCCCAGGCCTGAGCTGACCAGAGCATCCCCATCCTCCAGGATGCAGCAGCTGCAGAGGTCCCGTCTGAGCTGCCCCATCACCACGCTGGGCAGGACCATGGCTGCGTTCCCTGTGGCACCCCGCTATGCCAAGATGCTGGTGCTGAGCCAGCAATATGGCTGCCTGCCCTACGCCATCACCATCGTGGCCGCCATGACAGTGCGTGAGCTGTTTGAGGAGCTAGACAGGTGCGAGGTGGGGCTGGGTTCTGGGGGCTGTTCTCAGGCCTAATGCTGGTCCTCGGCTGAGAGCTGACCTGGACAACCCTCCTGGGGAGGCATTGGCACATGGGGTGGCCTTACACAGGACCCTCATCCTCTCTGAGCCCTGCAGTGCTCTGGTTTGTTTTGCAGAAATGGGCAGACTGTCCTGCAGCTTGTTGTTTATGCACCATGCATCCAGACTGTCTTTTCAGGTGGTCAGTGCATCTGAACTGATGACACTCACTTTAAACACTGCTTCAGGGCCGGCCCGGTGGCGCTCTGGAGAGTGCGCCGCTTGGGAGCACGGCGGCGCTCCCGCCGAGGGTTCGGATCCCATGTGGAGACCAGTTCCTGCTCACTGGCTGAGCGCAGTGCGGGCGCAACACCGAGGGTTGCGATCTCGTTGCCGGTCCCCGGTACGGGCGCAACACTGAGGGTTGCGATCCCGTTACTGGTCAGTAAAAAAAGACAAAAAAAGGTAAACACTGCTTCAGACTTGAAGGAGGAGATCTGTCATAATCTGGTGCTTCCCCAAGTTGCCATGCTTCAGAATCCCACAAGGACTTATTTCTGTGTCTCTCCCGAGAAACAAATGTGATGTAGATTCCAGTTCAGGTTGGAAGGCCTGAAAACCAGGAGCAGTGAGGGCAGAAGACCGACATCCCAGCTCCAGCAGTCAGGCAAAGACCAAGTTCAACCTTCCTCTGCCTTTTTGTTCTATTCAGGCCCTCCAAGGACTGGATGAGGCCCACCCACACTGGGGAGGGCAGTTAGTTCACCAGTTCAAGTGCTAATCTCTTCCAGTAGCACCCTCACAGACACACCCAGAATTAGTGCTTAACCAGCTATATGGGCATCCCTTAGCCCAGTCAAGTTGACACATAAAATTAACCATCATAAGTAAGGTCTTGAAAACTTAGGTGTCTTAGCCTCTCCCCAGTTCCTCTGATTGTTACCTCCTGGTCCCACTATCTTTAATAAAACTCCTCAAGTGATGCTGAAGTGGAAGCTCTGTAGCATATCGGCTGAGAGCTCAGATGCTGGGCATGACCTCCTGGATTCTAATCTCCCTCTGCCACTTCCTAGCTGTGTAGCCTTGGGCAAGTGACTTCACCTCTCTGAGCCTCATTTTCTCCATCTGGAAAAGAGGGATGATAATAAATGATTGGATTATTGTTAGAATTAAATTAGTTGATACCAGCAAAGCACTTTGAACTGTGCCTGACACATACGAGTTAGCTATTGTTTTCAGGTTTAGGAACCACTGGCATTTGTCCAGTCCATACTTGGTGGCTATTTCAGCAATTTTCAGGGTTTTCTTATTATTATTATTTATAAACAGTAGCCATGTACAATATTATTTGTTTGTTGGGTTATTTCTTTATGTCGGTCACTAGACGTGGAATTGCTGGGTCAGGTGTACACATTCGTAATCTCGATGGCTGCTGGAAGTGTATTTGAGCTAAGTTTTGAACTAGAGTTTAATACCTTTACATTCATCAGTGACCCCACAAGCTTCTAAACCTGTGCTGGGTAATAAATGTGTTCCCAGCCTGAGGGTGGCCAGGGAAACAGCCCAGGTGGCGTGTTTGTGTGTTTGCAGACCAGCTGCCAGTGATGAGGAACTCACCAAGCTGAAGTGCAGGCGGGTCCGGGTGGCCCAGATGAAGAGGACCTGGGCAGGACAGGGAGCTTCTTTGAAACTCGGCGATGTCATGGTGCTGCTGGGTCTGTGACCCGTTCGTGGAGGGTGGCGGGAGAGTCACCTGGGCCTTGGGTGGGCCCTGTGAGTGAGCATGCCTGGGTTGGTCCCACAGGTGCCGTGGGAGCCTGTGAGTATGCTGGCTGCACACCCCAGTTCTGTGAGGCCAATGGGCTGCGGTACAAGGCCATGCTGGAGATCCGGCGCCTCCGAGGCCAGCTGACCACTGCAGGTAGGGCTCCTGCCCACCGCCACATGATCCACAGGGCAGCACCAGGAGGACAACTTGACCCAGGCCCTTTTTAATATTTGAACTTGTTTTGAGCAAAGTTATCCATAGATTCCATGTTTACGAACTTGCCTACTTGCTAAAATTTAGCTATAGCCCAAAACCAACACTTTGGGTGCTTTTGCAGGCATGAGTGGACGTGCATGTGAGCAGAGTGGTAAAAAATTTGTCACCCCAACGCATGCTCACCCATCAGGATGTCTCTTGGTCTTGTCTTTTCCTTGACAACACCCCTTCCATCCTGCTCTCTTCCCTCCCAGGTGTCCCCCAGAACCTCAGACCTCTCTCATACGGAAGGTTGAGGCCTCACCCCAGACTTTACACCTGGGCTCAACACCCAGGGGAACTCAGGAGAAGAGAGACGTTCCCCCCCTAAGGATACATGCTTAGGGGGTGCGTGTGCACTGGGTCTCTTCTGGGCAGGCCGCGTTCTTCTCATTGAGGTTAAGGGGGAATTCACATTCAGTTTGAGCAGTTTTCAGGGTTTTGTGCCAGACTCAATGGCTCTTTTCCATCTGATACTTTCCCCAGCACCAGGTGCATCAGTGTGGCCTTGTCATCTTTCTTTGTGTCACTTTGGCTGTGGCTTTCCTGAGCAGCCTCATCCCCAGGAACATCTGTTGGAAATTGGGTTCAGTTGCCAGACAGCACTGATTACAGCGGTTCAGTGATGTGAGGCATGTATTTTTGCAAGTAGGAAAAGGTGTAGAGTCAGCCACCCTGGGGCTTACATCCTGAGGTCACCTCGTGGACCAAGAGGACATTTGGAGCTTTAATCACCCCCTGCCTTCCAGGCAGGAGAGGAAAGAGCAGGCAAGGCCAGAGGGTGCCGGCTGGCCATCCTGCTCCCTATGAGGAGCATTTCAAGAATTCCAACCACAGCTTCCATCCTCACATCACAAGCCAGAACTGAGCTGGTGGCCACCCTGGAAGTCAGAGAGTGGCCATCTCTTAGGAGTAGGCTGTGCCACCCACACGGGCATTGGGGCTTTGTCCTAAGGAAGAAGGAGGGTTGGACATGGAGGGGCAGCTGCAGTTCTGTCCGCCGAGGGCTTTGCCTCCTGCCAGCAACTTTGGTGGCAAGGTACCCTTGCATGCAGGTGGCTGAGGCCAGAGTGCCAGTGTGGGGACTACCAGAAGATCAGGGCAAAGCCGTCGCTGCCCTCACACTCCCCTCTCTCCCAGTCAACACTGTGTGCCCTGAGGCCGGGCTCTTTGTGGATCCCAAGATGCAGCCGCCCTCCGAGAGCCAGGTGACCTACCTGCGGCAGATGGTGACGGCCGGCCTGGGCGACCACCTGGCCCGCAGGGTGCAGAGTGAGGAGCTGCTGGATGACAAGTGGAGGAATGCCTACAAGGTTGGACACTGGCCCATGCATGCCTGGAGCTCCCCTCCACGCCCTTTTCCTTCTGCCTGTCTGTCTGTCCCTTGCATCCTGCCAGCCTGGCGTGCATGATGCCAGCTCTGGGAATAGACAGGGCACCTGGCCAGGGGCGGTCGGGTGGGACCCTTGGGGGTGTGGATGGGCCTGTACCCCTTGGTCATGAGTTTTTGCAGCCTCTGGGAAAGTTCCCAGCAAGGAGCAAGGGGGGTGTACAGCAGAGTCATGCCCTTCTTTGGGGGGTTAGGTTCTCACCCCTAACTTTTTTAAATAACAACTTAATGAAGGTATGATTCATGTACCATAACCTTAATCCATGTAAAGTATGCATTTCGGTGATTTCTAGTATATTCTGAGCTATACAACTATCACTACAGTTAACTTTAGAACATTTTCATCAACCCCAAAAGAAACCCCACTCCCAAGAATAATAACTCCCTGTTGCCCCCTAATTCCTCTTCTCCATGAATCTACTTTGTTTCTGTGGATTTGCCTACACCAAACAGTTCGTATAAGTAGAATCATACAGTACATGGCCCTTTGTATCTGGCTTCTTTCAAGCATAACATTTTCAAGATTCATCCATGTTGTGGCCTATGTGAGTACCATTTTATGGCTGAGTAATAGTCGTTTGTGTGGACAGACCACATGTGTGAGCTGACAGAACGCCCTCCTGCTGTTCTGGCCTGGAGTGGATAATTGGATTCTTGCAGGTTAAAAGCCCGGACGGTGCCAGGTGCTTGTGTTCCTCCCTGACTCACAACACTCCCTGTCTCTCTGCAGACCCCTCTCCTTGATGACCCCGTCTTCATCCACCCCAGTTCCGTCCTTTTCAAAGAGCTCCCTGAGTTTGTGGTCTACCAGGAAATTGTGGAGACCACCAAGATGTACATGAAAGGTACCAAGGCCTGTGGCCAGCCTTCGCCTGAGCCATGTGGCTCTGATGCGCTGTGTGGCTGGGACCCTTGTAGGGGAGACCACATAAGCCCTTCCTGGGTGGCGACCGCTGGCTTTCTCCCCCACCCCCAGGCGTCTCCACCGTGGAGATTCAGTGGATCCCAGTCCTACTGCCTTCTTACTGCCAGTTCGACAAGCCCCTGGAGGAGCCGGCCCCTGCCTACTGCTCCAAGAGCGGCAGGGTTCTGTGTCACCGGACCAGCGTTTTCTGTGAGTTGGGGCAGCTTCACAGGCAGCCTGGCCCTCCTACAGCCTTGGGCTCTGTGGACACTGTCCAGTACCCTGCCCTCGGACATGTGTGTCTCAGATAGGGTCACCCCAGGCCTCTCAGGGATGGAGCTTGGGGGGGTGGCTGCAGGAGGGTCCCTCGCTCACCAACTCCTGCTTTCCAGATCGCGTTGGCTGGCCACTCCCTGCTGTCCAGGTGGATTTTCCGGAGGGCATTGACTGCTACAAGCACTTTGCCCGGTTTCTGCTGGAAGGGCAGGTAGGTGGCTGGTGGCGCCCTGGACCCCTTTTCTCAGGTGCTGTGGTGGGGGGCAAGCCCAGGGCCTCTCATGCCTTCCTGTGGTCTCTCTTTAGGTCTTTCGCAAGCTGGCCTCATACCAGGGCTGTTTGTTGTCCAACCCCAGCACAATGCTGAAGACATGGGCCAGGTACAGCCTTCCCCAGGAGTGTCAAGGCGGGTGGGTGGTACTAAGGGGAGCTTGTGTGACTTCCCTAGGGCTGCCACAACAAGTGACCACTTGCTAGGGGGCTTAGAACATCAGAGATTTATTCTTTCCCAGTTCTGGAGGCCAGAAGTCTGGCATCAGGGAGTGGGCAGGGCCATGTTCCATCCACAGGCTGCAGTGGAGGATCCTTCCCTGCCTCTGCCAGCTCCTGGTGGGGGCCGGCTTCTGTGGCTTATGGCCACATCCAGTGTCTCTCTGTCTCCTTCTTCATGTGGCGCTCTCCTCTGTGTCTCTCTCTGTGTGTTGTCGCTTATACAGACACCAGTCATTGGATTTATGGTCCAACCTAATCTACAGTACCCTCACCTTAACTATATCTGCAGTGACCTTGCATCTCTTTGCAAATAAGGTCACATTCTGAGATTCTAGATGGTTATGAATTCGGGAGGGGAATCAGCAGGGGTGCATCCTGCCAGCTGAGCACAGACACCCCCGCAATCCCGGCTTACCACCACTCCCCCTGCCCTTGGATCAGCCTCCCCCCTACCCTATCCCTCCCCTTTTGCTTTCTTTCTGCCCATTGCCCAGTCCCAAGGGGACATCTCCCCTTCCTTAAGCTGGCAGAAGAGCCTATAGCTAACATCCTAGATAGCACAGGGGCTGGGGACAGAGGAGGTAGGCCTAAGGGTGCAGACGGGTACCAACACATGCTCCCTCCCAGGGACTTGAGATGGGGTTGTGGGACAGAGCATCCTGGCCAGGCTGCTACAAGCCAAGTCATTCACGCAGCAAACATTGCGGAGCATCACTCTGTGTGGACATGTTCTTGGTACCAGGATATAGACATGATGATCTCCGTCCCTGTGGTGGTGACAATTCCAGCACAGGGAAGTTGTCACCAAATAACACAACTAGCACAAATGGCAAGTGGCAACACAGCTCCAAAGGGACCAAGGAGGACAGGAGACATGAGGCCTCGGGTAGGGTAGGATAGGGTGAGGCTGCAATTCAGTGGGCTTTGGGAGAGCCTGGCTGAGCAGATTCAGAGGAGGCAGGGCTGGAGCCAGGCAGAAACCTGGAGGAAGATTCTAGAGGGGATAAGTCACATGAATACTGCGGCCTTGGTGGGAAGGAATATAAGGAAGTCCAGGGCAGCAGGATTAGAAGCAGCGAAGATGGAAGTGGTAGGAGATGGGTTCTAGATCCTTCTGTCTTGGGATGATCAGGGTGAGGGGACCCTTCATCCTCCTGGGCAGGGCTGGCCTGGTAGTGATGCCACTCCTGCAACTCCTGACCAGGCCTCCAGTGGCAGCCAGCGTGTGCCCTGGCCAGCTGCTCACAGCCTGCGTCCCCACCCCGCAGGCTGCAGCCCAGGACAGAGAGTCTCCTGAGAGCCCTTGTTGCAGAGAGGGCAGACTGCCACGATGCCTTGCTAGCTGCCTGGAAGAAAAACCCCAAATGTGAGTGACCAGGGCTGAGGATGGGGGAGAGTGAAGGGATGGGGCCTGCCAAGGCAGATGTCTTGTGCTTCGTGCAAGGTCCATCCTGCCTTGGTAGGAGGATCTGGCCCTACAGCAGCCAGCAGGCGTGTCCCCAGGCAGAGCCACCCTGATGCCATCCCCTCTTCCACCCCTTTAGACCTGCTGGCCGAATACTGTGAGTGGCTCCCGCAGGCCATGCATGCCGACGTTGAGAAGGCCTGGCCCCCCACCTCTTGCTGACCCGATGCCTGGCTGCAGGGCTGAAGACTGGTTTGGACTGAGGGAGCTACCAGCGTCCACTTTCCAGTGTGGTCACCCTGGCCCCCTGGCCTGCTCCCAGGAGGCATCTCAAACCCCTGCAAACCGTCATTCACCTCAACCCAAATCTGGACAAAGCTTGCTACTGTCTGGGCTGTGCATCTCAGGGGTGACGTTTTGTTATTTAAAGGTGCTCTTTGGACTACATTAGTCCCTTGTGGAGCAGCAGGGCTGGGGTGTCTGCAGGCCCTTCCCGAAGGCTGAGGAGGTGCCTGGAGGGAGTATCCTTCCCACATTTCTTTCTCCCTACAACGAGGGAGGCCCCTGGCCCTGGCAATGGCCTTGGCCTTGAAGCTCCGCTCCAACCTTGGGGGTTGGCCTGGGGCTCCCGTGGAAGGTTGGCCCCAGTCCCTTTCCTGTGTTGATCATAGGAATGGGCATCTTGTCCCCCTGGTGGTCAGCTCTCAGAGGCAGGGAGCTGACCTTATCCATCCTTGGTCACCTCTGCCATGCTGCAGAGGGCAGGCCTAGCACTGGGCAGAGGCCACAGTTGCTCTGTGGGCCTTGAATGGGGACCCCAAACCCCTCCATATCCCTCCCTCTTTCCTCCATGGCAGAGTGGAAGGGAGAAAGGCAGAGGTGGGTCCCAGGGTGAGAAGGAGGGACAGGAGGGTCCCAGGCAGGACCAAGGAGTAAGGAGGTCCCTCCCCTTCTGTCCTCCATGCTGAGGGCCTGGATGGCTCCCCAGTGCCAAGCCCCCGCCAGGATGGACTCTGGTCCTGGTGAGCTGCTTCGGCAGCTTTGGTGGAGATGCAGTTATAAAATAAAGATCCTGGGCCGTCCCGTGGCTCACTCAGGAGCTCACTCCTCTAAACTACACCAAGGCCACGGGTTCGGATCCTATATAGGGATGGCTGGTTAGCTCACTTGGGAGAGTGTGGTGCTGACAACACCAAGTCAAGGGTTAAGATCCCCTTACGGTCATCTTTTTTAAAAAAATAAAGATAAAAATAATAAAGATTACTTCCACCCAGACATTTTGTGGGATGGACTCAGGGAAAGACAGCCAGGTAGACACAGTGCCATCCCCTGGGGATTGCCCTGGTGACCTGACTGGCTGCCTCAGTACCACTCCCTCATGCTGGCTGGGCTTCCTTACCTCCCAGGCAGCTCTCAATCCCTGAGCAGGTTCCCTCTTCCTGCCTGTCCTGGAGAAGTGGGACCCAGCCCTTCTCCCTCTACATCCCTCCCCAGGGAGCTCAGTCCCTCCAGCAGCTGCTGAGGTGGTGCTTGAGGCCCAGGGCAGCCTGCAGACCCGCCCAGTGATTGAGGAAAATTTTAACTTGCTAACATGTAGAATTGGGATGTTTCCCACGCAAAACCCCTGATGTCCAGCTCTTCCAGAAAACTCCACCTGCACAGTGCTGGCAGTTCTGAGATGAAAGTGGGAGCCACTCCCCAGCCACTGTCTCTCAGTTACTGCAGCCACCCCATCAGCCACCTTACTCCACAGCCGCAGCAGAGGAGCCTCAGTTACTGAGTAGGCAATTCTTTTTTAAAAGAAAGTTTTAGGGCCGGCCCGGTGGCGCACTGGATAGTGCCCCGCTTGGGAAGCGCGGCGGCGCTCCCGCCCGAGGGTTCGGATCCCACATACCGGTTCCCGCCCACCGGCTGAGCG